GTCGTTGCACCTGATCAAAACACTGACAATACGACCTTGTGAGTCCTTCTTCCAAGATACGATTTCGTTTGAGCATTTCGAAGAAATCAAGGTGACGACACCACCCTGTTTCCCGGACGCAGGGGACCAAAAACTACGGCCCAGCCATCTACGGGATAGAGATTTAATAGTAGATTCAGAATGAATTAACGTTTCTTGTACAAAACAGACATCACAGTTGGACTTCTCGATCAAATCAAACAAGAAAATGTAGGTAAGAGGGTTTGCTAGCCCCCTTGCATTGATGGTTAAAGTTTTGAAGGATTCTTGGAAAAAAGACTCACTTAAAAATTATAAGCTTACTTAGGTTTCCTTGACCTGTTTCTCCCCTTTTTCCACTCTGAGGTAGAGGTCGAGAGTTCAGATGATGATGATTTTCTTTTCAGTTCATGACTAGTTTCCATCTCTTCTTCTGGGTTGTTAGGGGTGACTAATATGGGAGTGTGTGATGCGGTAGGTACAGGAATAGAAGAACGGGGTTTTCCGCTGACAAGTGTTGGTGCAGTAGATTTTCGGGAGCATGCAAGAGAAAATTCGTCGAGAAGTTTGGCAGGTGTTCGACGGGAAGGTGGTTTGATGGCAGATTTGATTGTGGCGATGAGTCCTTGAAAAGTGACGATAGATGAGTCCGTAGGGGTAGACTCAGAAGATTGGCCAGTTTGTTCAAACGGAAGATCGGATTGTTCAGACGGAAGATCGGGATGATTATGTTCATTGGGCTGTTCATCAGGTAACGGTTTAGCGGTTAAATCAGAAACAGGTTGTTCAGGCGAGGAATGAATGGGTTGCTCAGCAGTTTGTGCAGGCGGCGGGAAGAAGGACAGCGGAAGATTTTCATCAATGGACGAGGAATCCTGTTGGTCGTCCTCAATATTTACGTCAGTAGAGGGAGAGTGTTGTGGTTCATCTTCTATGTTTACGATTTCGGACTCGTCCGTAGGGACGCCATGCACCGTTGGGAAAACCCAATAATAGTCGCAATTAGCGCCTAGATGACCAGGCTCTTTGTATATCAAAGCATTGGTTGTGGGCACTGTCGTGCCTCGTGTCTGGTCTTTTCACAGTTGAAACAAACCTTATTGTGACACGTGTTGCTATAATGTCCCGGGGAATTACACCTTCGACAAGTTGGAAGTTGATTGTTGTGCTTTACATAGATTTGTATTTTCCCGAAACGAAAAAACTTGGAATAGGCTTGATGACCCGAACCCTATAATGTCTTAGGCCGTTGTATACGTTTGGAGCATAAGAATGCTTTCCTCTCCGATAATGCAAAACCTCGCAGAATGGTGACAGCCGTTTGATGATAGCTAAATCCGGCAAATCAAAGGGCGCGTCATAAACTGTTCAAAATGTTAAAGGCTTGTCAATATCTTGACTTGCGTAATGCTGGCTATCGATTAACAAAGAATTTAACCCAGGAAATTTATCCTTCGCTTCCATGGACTTGAAAGTAACCACGACTTCCCCATTCATTTTTCGCTGTAAACATTGAATCTCCGTCGGCTCGATGTTCGAAAGAGCCAAAGCGTCGAAAACGGAGCGAGCAGAGGTTTGTCTGTGCGGCGTGAAAAAAATAAAGGCTGATAGTTTCGAAAGAAACTGTTTGGGGCTGCGTCGGTGGGAGTAACGAATTTACCATTTCAACTTTGTTGATATATCCAAATTATTACGGCGTAAAAAAAGCCGTCTTAGGTCGTTGTGGTATACGGTTTTCTTTCTCCCAAACTTGCTGTACCAAATCATTAACCGGAATATTCCCTATTCCAGACGTACGAGTGGCGCGTGAAACGTACGAATCTCCATTAACAGCATGTAGACTTTCCGAAAGAACATTATCTCCTGCAACGGTCGAGACATTTTCAAAATTTCCATCATCATGTTCACCAGAATCCATAATTCCTCCATCATGTTCGCTAAATTCCATGATTCCTTAAGCTTTCCACCAAGCAATAAATGAGAAAAAGCCCCACGGGGCGAAAATAGAAGCAAGTAATTCGAGTAAAAGAAAAAAAACCACTTACGTATCCTTGGGAGCTCAAAATCGCACGTCTGATTTAGTAATGTTTCGGCCTTCTGGGCCTCATCAGCGCAGTCCTGATTCTAGGATGGGGGAGAACCAAGACGGTCACCCCCAAACGACCCAACCTTTGTGGTATCGTCTAAGCCATGCCAGAGTTCTCAAACTAGAGTAAACTAGCGAGCATGCGCAATTGCAACAGCAATGAGTCATCCTAGATATAGTGCTCAATTTGGACATGAAAGCAAAGCTTTGTATGTCAAAGAGCTATATCTAACTGCAGACTACTTTTTTCTTAATCAACTTTATTTATACAATGAT